TATTCACTTTTGCATTCCTCCATAATTATAGTCAACTTGGTTGAATGTTCACCCTCTGCCAGCATTTCCGCTGCCCTAGGTTGGTTATATAGCCGAGTCAGACTTGCTCTCTCCATCCCAAGAGTTCAGTGGAGCGTGAAGCTGCTTCACTGAGGACAGCTTTGGCACTCCCTCCATCCTGCAAAATATTTGGCAATGTCTGGAGACATTTAATTTTGGTTGTGCCACCTGGGAGAATGTTACTGGTATTTACTGAGTGCAGGTCAGTGGTGCTGTAAACCACCCAACACAGCACAGCTCAGTCCCCATAACGGAGAACTGTACAGTCTCCAGTGTTGGCCGTGCTGCTGTGCAGAGAGATGATTGTGCACCAGCAAGGTGAATTCTGGTGTTTCTCTACTCTTCAGTACTGTTCCCAACCAGTTATCAACACTTCAGCTTGCTACTTAGTAGCACACAGGAGCTGGTTCAGGCCCTCATGGCGTTTTGCTTAAACTTTGGGAATAAGTGTTTAAATGCATTTTATAGCTAATGCTCCCAATTTTGGAAAGCCTTTTTAATTTCTTAGCCATCTGAATTTATGGGTAAAGGCTATTTTCTAAATTCAGCCAAAGGAAAAAAGCAGACAACATGATACATCTGTCCTACATTCCTTTTCAGCCACAAGAAGATTTGTTAATACTTTTCAAGACTTTTTAGAAAGGGTTGAGTACTCTCGGTCATCACTTCTGTGCCTTTTTATTATTGTTCTACGGGAAAAATGATCCCACGTTACAGAGCTGTGTGTCTGTTGAGGATGATCCGTTAGATGAACGGGCTCTATTTCTTCCTCTCAGTGCTCAGGAAGAACTGCAGGAGGTGTTGAAGTTGCCATCGGCTTGTTCTGGTCAGGAGGGATTTCCTCATGACATTTCTAGGGTTCCTTGTACCACATTGCATCATCATGCTCCATGTGACATCATGTCAGAGGCGGCACACACACTGCAGGCTGCTTCCCTCTCCTGGCTGCAAGCTGTGGTTGCTGTCCTGTTCGGCAGTATCGAATGGCCCGGAATACTGATAGACACATTCTTCAGTTCCTCTTAGCTTTGTACTCCTCCCGTAACTGGGAACAGAACATCACTGTGACTAGAGGCTGAAACATAATTTATAATGAACTGATAGCAAAGTTTATCTACTATGACTAATAATCATAATATAGTAATGGTAATGTCAGTCATAATAAGAAGAAACTAATTAGAGTGGAAAACAATATCTCTCCTTAAGAAACCTCACCTAGCTGAGAAATAAGACACGGAGCCAGCAGCTTGGCACCATGTGTACTAATTTATTTAGCACAGTGAACCCAAGTAACAGCATTTACATGAAATGATTGATTGACCTAGGAACTAATTCACATGGAAACTAATTGATAAATCTCAGACCACTTTTATCTGTGACATGAGACACCTGACTGAGAAGCTGCTGCACTAAGAGGCCCAAAGCAATTATTTCCTAGACAAAGACTTCTTGCATATTCCTAAATGCGAGTGTATGCGGGCCTGGCTGTCAAATGAGGAGGGAAGTGGCATGGCAAGGCATATTTTTGATACAGAACATCGTCAATGAAATGAGACTTCATTGCTGTGGTCTGGCAAGGTTTGGGGAATAGTTTGGAGCCAGATCTAACAGTGTGCTGTGAGGATTTCAGGATTTCAAGATTCTTGCAACAGTTTCTCTTTAACCTGCAGGTGGCATTAGTAGTAAAAATGTATTTCCTATCATTTTTGAAAAAAACATGCAGCAATGAAGTGAGGGAAACAGTAAAGGGCTTCACAGCATGACTCAATTAGAGGCGCAAGCCCGATTCATTGCAGATGGCTTTTTGCTATGTTTAATAATCCAGGGAACTCAATGATCCAAATCCAGAAATAGTAAACTACAATCCTTAGAGGAATTGAAAAATCTGGGGAAGTTTTTTCTTTCTCTCGAGTTTGGAATACAAGCATACGTCTATATGTACACACACACACATGTCTTTGTGATTCCGTTTCCATGTGGGAGGCCAAGAATCTCAGCACTGGGAGCAAACTTGGTTCTTTACTTACAGAGCGCGAATTGAAACTCAACAAAGTGTGATTGAAACTCTGTGCAACCAGCCCCCTAAGATTTTCTGTCACTGTTTCTGGGCCCTGTGTTTAGCCTAGAGAGACCGTGTGATGCTAGCGTATCTTTTCCACACGCACAGGGCTTACTTTTTACTTCTTGGAGAGCCATCAACTTACTAACTATATTGGCCAAGCAAATCCTTGCCCTGGTCGTGGTCAAGTACCTGGACTAGAGCCAAGTTGCTGAAGTCTTCTCTCTCCACTCTCTAGAGACCTGCCAAGCAGTGGGTTATATTTAAGACTGGGGTAATTAAGAGAATTTCCTTTAGAACAGAAACACCAAAACATCAGGGAAATTACAAACACAGGAAAACTCAGAGAACATATATAAAAGTTGTTGTAATTGGCTTCTGTGATCTTATTCTGCAGTAACTAGAGTAGTGTCCAGTCACTGAGACAAAATTCTATACACACACAAATTCAAGGAGGAAAGGTTTATTTTGGCTCCCAGTTTGTTGATGTTTCAGTTCATAATCTCAGCTGGTTCCAAGGCAGGGTGGCAGGAGAGAAACTGCTCATGACCTGATGGCTGGAAGGAGACAGAGAGAGAGAGAGAGAGAGAGAGAGAGAGAGAGAGAGAGAGAGAGAGAGAGAGAGAGAGAGATATTAAAGGAAAAGAGAAGAAGATGTGCTCCACCAGGGCAGTGTTATTAGTCCAGTGCACCATCTTCACGCAGTCAGGATGCAGTCCTCTCCTCAGACGCCCTCCCTGTGGATGCAGGTGGCAGCAGATGAGGCAGCCGGCCGGGGAGACTTTTAAATGTAAACAAGAGCAAGCAGGACACTCTGAAGGGAGAAGAGGGAAGCACAGTGGCCTGGCCTTCAGGGTGCAAGGCATCCTCGGAAGGCTTTGGGAAGAGGCTGAGAAGCAGGGGTAAATACTGATCGGAGGTCTGTAAACACAAAACTCAGGTGAACAAGGATCCTTCAAGGACAGGCTCACTAGCCACAGGAAAGTCAAAGGTTATTCCGCAGTGAACATTTGCTTCTCTGAGGATTCTCATATTTAAATGCCTTCTTGCTCGTGGCTCTGCTCCTTTTCAATGGACATTTGAGGATTTCATTGCTCTAACAGCCCTAACCAAATGCCAAAAGTGGCTTTCTAGCTTCAAATCTATTTCTTTAAGTTCTTTTAAGACAAATGTATGTAAAGGCCAATGTTTTGTTAAATAGGCACTGATATTTTTTGAAGGTGTTTATTAATGAACGGTATCACACACTTTTCAGAGCCTGAGAATTCTAAGCTACACATTCCCTTCAGTAACCTTTGCCTGGTGCCACTCTTTCTGGCTCTTGTTTCCAGACTGAGGTCCAGGAGACACAGCTCCTCATACAGCCAGTATTGATGGGAATGCCCACCAGAAAGTCCGTTTCTATGCAGGGGGGAGGGGAGGAGGAGGGGGGGAGGAGGAGGAGGAAGAGGTGGAGGAGGAGGAGGAGGAGGAGGAGGAGGAGGAGGAGGAGGAGGGTTTCCCTGCCTACATCTCTCTGTGCAACCCAGATATGACTGCCTTCTGTTAGGCCTTCTATGCCCTTGAACTCTGCAGTTCCCTGAAGAGAGAACCTAAAGCTTGGGGATGGAGGCAGTTGCTCTGCTGTTTTATGAGGAACTCACAAAGAAGTCTATTCTCTGTGCGTTTTATTCACAACTAAGTGATTAGAGGCACTTCAAGTAATACTGTCTCTGCCAAAGACATCAGAGATATTTAGCTATATCTTTCCCTGTGAATAATCTATGTCTTCTAAACTCTCCATCAAACTTAAAGACAAGTATCAGGAGGCTGGGCTTGAGGGACAGAGTCACCATTCTCAAAGTGCAGCGCCTGGTTTGGGCTTCCCACCTTAAGTATCCTTTGTGTCAAAGCCAGTTACTCTCATGCAAGTTCACACTCTACTCTGAGCTCAGATTTCACTGCATTAAGTGTAACTTTATTCTAGTGCTCCAGTTTCCAACCCTCCTGGTCTTTCTTGGGAGCTTGGGTACATTGATTTCTTCTATCTGGTCTCTGTAATTCCAGCTCTTGGAAAATTTTGAAAGGAATCTGCTAGTCTGCTTATTCAAATTAAAATATTAGCCGAGCCAAAATAACATGTGGTCTGACTTTCCTTTATTAAAAAATCCTTTGCACAAAAGACTTTTTCTTAATAACTTGAAAAGTAGTTATTCGAGAAAACATACCTGGTGCTATAGACTAAATCATGTGCTCCAATATGATGATATTTGGAGATGAAGCATTTGAGTGTTATGCTGGCAATCTAACCATAGATACCCCAGCCTCCAGAACCATGAGAAATACATTTCTGCTGCTTAAATCACCCAATATGTAGTGTTTTGTTATAGCAGGCATGAAAATGAATACCCATAGTTATAAAGTGTTTCACAATTGACAGGTATCCTTAAAAATCACACGAAACCAAGAATAATTTGGAAGTCTGGATGTGTGATTGTCTTAGTTTAAGGGCACAGAGGCAGTGATAATTTTTGGAAGCTGGAAAGCACTACACTTAGATGTCTATTCTTGGAGTTTTCTCATTAATCAGTTCTTCCTGTGGTGATTTTAAGTCCTGCCTATCACAGAAAACATGGAATCTATATAACAGTTCGCTATATAACCATTGTAAGTTCAGGAACCTGTTTATTTTGATAACCTCATAAATGCACAGAACACCATTTTAGGGTTAGGAAGTCTATCAGTTAACCATGCTGTGTGTCACTATCCCCCGTGGGTTACCCTCATTGCCCCTCTTCCTGGGGGAGGGTGGGATGCTGTTGAACAGGCCGTAGCTACTCCGTATGCAGTGGTGAGCCTGCTCTATGTGCTCCAACCGTTTGTGCTCCAGCAGCTTCTGCAATGCATTAACGGTGCTCATTAAATTCTCTTCCAAACTCCTTTATGGGTCTTGATAGTTAAATCAGGCCTTGGTTTGATAGTGATTCAAATACATGACTCCCATCTCTAACCATTTGGTGATGGAAAACTACCCATCTTAGTAAATTCACTAATATAGGTTTGATCTTTGTTTCTCCTTGACTTATTTCTATTTCTCCATTTTAGTTCCAAAATACTCCAAAGCACGTACTCCCCAGTTCCCCTAAGATGCGCAAACAGAAGCGCAAACATACCCACACCTTCCAGTACGTGTAATTTAGTCAAATTACACATTTCTAAGTTCTAGTCTGAATGTTTCTAAGAACAATTATGAGGAAATTTTATGATTATGAAAGAATGGGTTTTTGGAGCAGAGAGCCAAGGTTGGCTGTGAAAGGAGGAGAGTAGGATGTGGAAGAGGGAAAATCTAAAGATTGGGCTTATCACCTTCTGTGTCAACTTTCTCATCTTGGAAATAGGAGTCATCTTAGCATCTGTTCTGTGTATTTTATGATGTCAGAAAAATAAATGAAAAGGTTCCTAAACCTAAAGTGATGTTCACACAAAAGGATGACTAATACTTGACTTACTGGTGCTTGACACTCTGGATTACCCACAGGATGCTCAGTGATGCCCAGGGCTCCACACAGCGTGGACCTGCTGTAATACCTACACTGTGAAGGTAAATTTGTATCCCATAGAGGCACAAACCTGTGAATTTGGACTCTTATGGACAGCATTGTGTTAGGATTTGTCTGGTTCTTTATGAAAGTTCTCCCTCATTCATTTAGTTGACAGCAAAACCGAAATATACAGAAAGCAATGATTGTTTTACAGAAGGTAAGTTGTGAAGAGGGCATTAGGCGTGGAGAAACACTCTGCTAGATGTGAGTGCTAATGCAGAGAACTCAGGAAATGCCTCCTTCCTCTGTCTTTAGAAGGTAGCTAAGGAGAATTTTTTAAAGTGTGATAGACTCTTCAAAAGGGAATGATCGACCCAGTACATCTCAGGACCCGTTATGGAGGTCTTCAGACCCATTTGTTTTGCATAGGTGTACATGTGTCCAACTTTTTGCTCTTTTGCAAACACCATAACCATATTGCAACAAACCTGCATTGTGAGCCAATTCCCTTGAATTCTTAATTCTTGTTAACAGCCCTGACAATTAACCAATTACTCTTACCACCAAAAGGCTCAGGGAGGAAAGACTGATGATATACAGAGTCTTCACTTGCTGCTTTGAACTCAACTGCTGGAGTGCTTCATTTAGAGGACGGATGAGCAAGTGACTGGCCAACAGGCTGAAACCAATCAAAAGACTGAAACTGCCAACAGGTGGCATTTTGCATGTGCCCCCTCCTGTGACTCTTTCATACTGTCTGCTGCTTGTCTCATCTTCCTGTCCCCTGAGATCCCGGAAAACCCTGTTGCGCCTGTGTAGGTGGGTCAGCTAATCCAGTGTTGATGACTTCCAGAATGGTGAAATCACAGGGTTTGCAGAGTCTCAAAGGTTGTTCTTGAAGGCCCTTGTGCATGACCATCCAAGGACTCTCATTCCACTTCTGGATGACATTGTTTTTTAGAAAGTCTCCCTTAAAATGAAATTAAATCTTCTCTTGTGTAATTTTTGCCCACGGATCCTATTTTGTCCAGTGAAGCAATACAGAATGGCTGCTCTCATGGCTTCAAATTCAAGAACAGCTTTCAAACCTCCATTGCCTTCTTCATGACAGTTTCTCTAATGTTTGTGGGGCAAGGTTTTCTACCTCCGTTCAGCACCTCCTCAGCATATGTGTATTTCTCCAGCCTCTTAAATCGAGGCGCTAACATCTGTCATGTGTTCCTTGTAAGGCCCATTCCCCTCATTTTACATCCTCATATTAACTCTGGTCCTAATAAAACAAAGGTTCTGGAGGACTCAATTAAAGACAATAAAATGACCAGGAACACTCTGATGACATTTGCTAGTCCTTCCCTGAAATAACTTTGGATTTATCTTTTTCTGTTGCAAGAACTGTTTCTAGGGCTATGTGGCATGGCTTGAACTTTTGATGTGCTCTTTAGGAGAATCTAAATTTACTGAGTTAATAAAATTATAGCCACCGGTAGAGGTAATAACAGAGCAGGGAGAGGTGAGCAGTGGTATCAGCTCGAGGGAGGGAAGGAAGGTCACTCCAGACAGAAACAGGCGAACAGTCTGGGCAGGGAAGAAAGCTCTTGGTGATGGACATGAGATCACCCCACAGGTCAGCTGTGTAGATACACAAAGTGTGTACCTCATGAAAATTAAGGAACACGGCACATTTCTAGCCCCCAAACATGACTTACACTCTTCCTACCATCAGCAGCCCCTCTGTGACTAACTCTCTTTGCTTAAGGCCACTGTAAAAATGCAAATGTTCTCCGAGAGAGTAAAATATTAAGTCATTACCAACCAGTGCCATCTCAGCTATATTGACCACATTAGAACTAGCTGGGCACTGAGAAGGTCCCTCAGGGAGCAGGTTACAAAACTAATATGCTTTTAATTGATAGAGAATAGCAGATGAGAAAAAAGGACGATATTTCGAGAATTTGTTTCACTGAAGGGGGTGAAGAGGAAAGACAGGGAGGAGGATTTGGCGGGACTTGGCAGCTTGAGCCGAGGGGATTGCTTCTGCGGAGGCTTGTGGAGCCCTCTGTGGACACTGGAAATGAGAAGTGTAAACGGAGATGCTAAAAACCACCAAAGGAGAATGCGAGTGAATTAGATTTCCCTCTTCATTTCTCTTCTCTGTAGTTCAAATGTGAACGGAGGGGGGCTCTGAGCACGGTGCTTGAGTTAAGGTACTGTGGACTGTGGGTAGGTAAGATGCCTTAGTCTTTTTATTTTTAATTTAAATTTCCCAATCCTGAATTGTCTTACTTAAATAATTCCCTCTCATTGAGAAGGAAAATTCATTTGATTCTTTGCTTTTTTTCAGTTACTTTTTTTCTTTTTCCTGTTTCTCATTTTATTCCTGGTCAAGTTTCCGAATTAGCAATTGGAGGGTGGATGAGGGTCAGAAAACAGAACAAAGTTGAGAGAACAGATGAGGAAAAACCCATGCCCTATTCTCTTTAAGTTAGATTGTGCATGTGTGGTACTGCGGATTAAACCTCAAGGCCTTGGCATTGAGCTACACCCCAGGCTTTGTTTATTTTATTTATTTAATTATTTTTTTTTAAAGTTTTGGGTTAAGGCCTTGCTAAGTCATTGAACTATTTAGGTTGAACAAGAACTTGCAATCCTCCTGCTTGACTCCCAAAGTCCTGAGATTATGGTACATGCATGGCTTTCATATTATTTACAAATTGTTATTTTTATTAGTTTGTGTTTGAAGAACATATTCATTGTGAGGAGTTGGTACATGTCCATAATGCATCTTAATTCTTTGCAATGTCCCTTTCCCTTGTCCTTTTCCCCTTCCTTCCATCTTGATCCCCTTCTCATTTGCAAATGATGTCTGTTTCCATCTTTTATTTTGCTCATTATTTATAGTTTGTGTTTCTAACTTGAGAGATTTGCAATCGTAATTAGAAAGCATCTTATACTTCCAATAATAGTCAACTTAAAAGTAATATACAGACCACAAAAGTGGGTGAATTATAAATATTCTAATAATAAAGAGTAGAAGGAGAGGCCAAAGGATGTGAGGACCCTGAGACTCATCCATCTCTCTCTTTCGCTCTTTCATTTCTCTTCTCTGTAGTTCAAATGTGAACCTTCATCTATCGCTGGGTTTATTCCTTCTTATACAGAGGAGCTTTCTTTAGGTGAAAAGCTAAAATCTTCTGATTATATAAATTCATTCCATGATTTTAGGTGAGTTTATATAACATACAAAAGGGCTCAGATTTGATAAAGTCACGTGTTCATTCCCTGAATGATCAGCAGCTAAGGTAAAGTCTGCTGCCATTGTCTTTTGTGGATCCTATGTTACCCTTACCACCTCATTTGCCTTTACTATTGTCTTCCGTAAGTGTCCTATCTCCAAATAGTCACACAGGGTTAGGGATCCAACATCAGAGTTTTTGTGCAGATACAAGTTAGTCTACAATATAGGCCAACGCACGTTTCAGCAAGGGACTGGTCTAGCTGATGAACAGGTCCTGAGGTTAAGGTGATTGTTGTTGTCTTTCTCTTCATTTTCTTCCTCCTCTCTCATCTTCACCCCTAAATCTTAGAAGACAAATATTAATTATGGAGAGTGAACCCACAAAAACATGGCATATTTACAATATTAGGATTCAGGAGGAAAAGATCTTATGGTTATGCTTAATAAGGCCAGATGCAGCAAACAGGCAAAGATATTTTCTTAGTATGATCTTGCAATTCTACCTAATAGATTTCTACCCTATTCTGAGATACTCTGCGAGGAGAGGAGCCTTGTCTTTGGAGAGACAAATGCTTCTAAGTCAAGTTAAATACTAACTGATCCAGTGTGATACAGCAGTTGGTCATTTTATTTTGTTGGTATCATTACCCAAAAGCTAAATTTTGAAAAGAAAATGTTTGGGAAATATAATTTTATCAGCAAGTGTGAACGCTAATAAAACCTTATTACTATGTTCCATTAGAGGGAATAGTTACATATTCAAAATGCTGTATCTATGGGTAGAGCCTTTAAATTATCATTGATATTAAAAGGCAGTTTATATTAGAGCTCTTGTGTGAACTAAAGTGGAAATTCCATCTCTATAATGAAAAATAAAACTAGTCTGGTAAGCCACATTATTTAATAGGGAGAAATGATGTTTGAGAAAACAGAAATGAAGGCATATTTTTAGAAAAGCAACAAGATTTGGGGAATAATTATTACTGTGACCTATTGAATGGGAGCTACTTCAGCTCATGTGGAATGCAGGTTGTTTATAACCCTCTGGTGTATGTGGACTCTGGGTGGACGAGGCAGTGGATAGACAGCAAGTTAAAGAATGAAATCAGTGTATAAGAAGCATAACTTACAATTTTTTTCATGATATAGTTTGAAAGTAGATAAATTTGAGCTTTCTTTTTTATAATTTGTTTTTGTAAGAAGGAAGAGACTTTGTCATATACAAATGCAAATCCATGTATCATGCCCCCTGGAAGCATAAGCAAGGATGTGCACATATGTCCCAAATTATTTCTGAAGCAATTTCAGACCCAGATTTGTGTTAATGCATTTAACAAGTAATTAGATGCCCATTCATTTATTAGCAGCATATTTAAAATCTTCTTGCAAAACTTTACCCCCCAACAAAGTGGCACATTTAAGAAGACAGAAGGGATATAAATACTTTGGGAAAGTATAAAATGGGAAAACAACTCTGAAAAAGAAAGTTACACTTTAATTGTAGAAGAATATTAGTCATAGAAATGAGATTTATAAAAACAATACTCTTCTGTATTTTACCATTTCATACACTAAAAGGGAGATATTGAGACTTGGACCTGCATCAGTAGCTTCTTTACTTTTTATGGCTCTATTTTAGCACAAGTTATTTTTCTCTTGGATAGTACAATTTTTGTTTCTTTTGTAAAATTCTTTATCATTTTCTAAGCAGTTTCACAGAGTATTCATTCGTGGAACCAATAGCATATCCTTAGAATTGTGAAATTCATATAATGAGTTTAACTTACTATTTTTAAAATGCCACTTGAATAAGATTGAAAGGGGAATCAGGCTGGTCAGCAAACTTAAGGTGAGTTTTGAGCACGTATCTAACCTCCCTCCTTCTTATTTTTCTGTATTTTACCTCCATTTTCAGTCAGTATAGAAGATGAAGTGTGGCAGAGAGGGTAGGAATCACAGGGTTTAATATCATCTATAATAATGAAACAAACAAATTCACATGTATACTGCTTATTTATTTCCTTATATTTTGTACAAAAATACTTAAATTGAAATTTAAATGAGCACAGTTGGCTACTTCCTTCATAAGCGGCACAAAGATTTGGGAGCATTTTATGCAGAGGTAAACAGAAGCCTAAAACAGTGTTCAGGATAAGCTGAGAGCACTCTGCCGCTCTAATATAGGCACTTTGCCTCTTTTCTTTTAATCTCTTTTCTATTTGAACATTAATGGACACATTTTTTAATCTCCAGAGCTTCCTACCTGCCTTAAAAATCTAACTTGCATAAAAATAAAAAGTCATCTAAGATTTGTTGCATAATTATTTATTTTAAGGTATTTTTGGAAAAAAAAATTTGAGAGTTTGGGATGACACCAAAAAAGTGGGATACGAGAAATGAAATTGCTTTGAGGGGCAATGCCTACGAATAAAAAATACAAAAAAAATAAATAAAGGCTAACTTTATCCCTATTTCAGATTTTCCTTAGAAGCTGTGAGAGATTTCTGGGTCTCATTTATCTTAGGTATTTCTCTCACCCAATAGATACAATGTGAGACCACTGTAGGGTCTGGATCCGTTTGGAGTGGTTTCAGCCCATGGTTAGCTGGCTCTGAGGCAGGGTGGCGTGGCAGAGGGGCTGGGTAGAAGAGAAACAGCTCACGACTGACACACGGGAAGCAGAGAGGGGCAAAGAGAAAGGAGGACCATTTACCCTTCTACTCCACATCCCAAGTGACCGAGCTCTCCACCATCCAGGCTTCACCTCTCTCTTTCTCTTTCTGTCTGTCTCTGTCTCTGTCTCTCTCTCTTTCTTTGTTGTTAGTTTGTTTATTTGGTAACTGGAATCAAACTCCTGACCTCGCACTTTCCAGGCAGGCACTGGGGTCCCAGCTTCAACTCTCAAATCCCATAAGTCACATTTAGGTATAAACTCATCAGTGGACTAATTCACACCCCAAGATTCAATCACCTCCCAAATACCTACCTTTGGTACACGTGGCTCTAGGGTGCTCAACACAAACCCCAGCATCATTCTTCTTAATTCCCCCCTTCTAATCATATCCTCTAAAGTACTGAACATGCCAGGTGAAAATCTAGAGGGTCCATCTTCCTTTTCCCCATCTTGTTTTCATCAGCCCACAGTTTTTGCTCAATAGAACTACATCTTTGAACTCCAAGGAGATCTAGAAAGCCAAATGTTAAGGCTAGAGGAGAAAAATATGGAAAAAATTGAAGATGTTGGTATTACACTGAAGAACACTTGAACATTCTGGTATTATTGTACTCATTGCTAGATAATCAGCTACATACAGGTGCAAGAAGACACAGCCTCTCCCTCGGTGATCCCTGGGTCTTCTTATCACTGCTTCCATCTTGATATGGAATGTTAACAACAATCTCTCTAACACTAAAGCATGTGCATCCCAGAAGTGTTTGTGGTGGTACATAAGGGAATCAAATCTGAAAAGCCAGTACCTTTTCTAGTAGAAGCTGGAGCTCTGTGAATCTAGGATTTCCTTCCTATCATAGGCTTTTGAGATATATTTTCAGAGGTCTCTCTGATAGCCCAGAGAACACTGCACAGCAGTTTAGCCACAACTGTTATTTTCATTAAAAGCAGACACATTTTAAACAATTGTTACTAATTATTTTTTTAAAATGCCATGTGGGAAAAGACCACTTTAAAAAGTAATTCCTGAATATAGTCAAGCAGGGGTAGTCAAACCTGAGGTCCAAACCCAAAACCCAGCTGACTCCGCCATTGGTTGTGAATTTGCTGATGTTCACGATAACTTTACCTTGCTTCTAGGTCAATTTCCTTTTCTAAGTTTTGTAAATATGAAGAGAAAGAGAAAAATAAACAAAAGATAAGTTAAAAATACCACAAAGTTCTAGCCATGAGACAGCTGTTTTTCTTAAATAAATATTTCCTAGATTTTATTAAAGTTCTCAAAAGATTTGATTACTTTTTCCAGTGTTCCTGTGGCCTGTTTTAGAAGAACGGATTTTTTTTGCAGGTCTTTACTCTGCCTTTCCTGCTGATGGTTACTCCCAGAAACCAATCTTAATTCAACATCAAAATGGGATATTAAGATAACCTCAAAATAAAGAAAAGAGGCTCTGTCACCAGCAAACTTATCCTAAATAAGAAGCTAAAGACTTTTAGCTAAATAAATAAGTTCTTAGAACACTAAGAGAAAAAGTAAAGAAATAACATACACCTGGATAAATGAAGTAAAAATTTCTCTCCTTCCTGTCTTTTCTTTTCTTTAATTTTATAAATTATGTGAGTCTAATGTGCTATTCTCAGTGTACAATGGGTGATCAATATGTATATATATAGTGATTGTTTAAATTTTTAAAAATTGTTTATAGTAAAAGACACATTGTCATCAGTCCTCTCAAAATACTCCCTGTTTCTTTGGACACATCGTATCACTCTTGCCACTTTCTGAAGAAAATCTAGAAGTTTTCTTTCATGAGTATCTTTAAAGTGCCGATTTAAAAAATACAACAAATGCTGCGTTGAGTGCCTTCCAATGAAAAGACAGACTTGAAAACATTACAGTATATCCTTATCCAACTAATTCACTGGACCTGGCACCTTGTAATTTCTGGCTCTCCCTCAAAATCAAAATTACCATGAAAGGTAAACCTTTTCAATTGATTCAGGATATCAAAGCAGCACTTTGATAGATAATCACTACCAACAATTTCCAGAACTACTTTAAACTGTAGCAAGAATGAGAAGATGAGGCTGGGGAATTTAGTTCACTGGCTCAAGCATTTCCTGTAAGTGCAAGGTCATGAGTTTGATCCCCCACACCAAAAAAAAAAAAAAAAAAAAAAAAAAAAAAGATTTACACGCAAAATATAGGCAATTTGGAAGATTTGTGGCAGTGCCTCTTTTATGGCAATATTTTTAGAAAATTTAAGTAGTCAATGTATTTATGATCATATCTTATATATAAAAGGAACATTTGAGAAAAATTATATAATTAATATGAAAAGATACGGGCATGTAATCACACTGCTCAGATTGATAAATAGTAACATCAGCACACTTTTCTAAGTAGTAGTAGGCATCTACATGATGCCTAGAAACACTACCAAAACTTTAAACATATCAATACAAACCATTGTTTATAAACTTAAATTGAAATATAGAAATTAATTCACAAAAGACAAGAAAAAGATAAATACAGGCAACAAACACAATGCAAAAGAGTCAGATTTAGGTCTTTAAATATCATAATTATATTAAATTTCAAAAGTCTAAACATATAAACTAATAGACAGAGTTGGGACAGATAAAAATAATGAGCAAACAACAAACTGTCTAAAATCTGATACAAAATACAATGATAAAGGTAGATTAAAAATAACAGAATAGAAAAAAGTTTATCATAGTAACATTAATTAGAAGAACCCAGGGGTAAATATGTTGATATATTAACTACAGTTCACAGCAAAGAAAATTATCAGTCATAAATGGATATTATGTAATGATTTATAGATCAACATACCACGAAGACATAGCAATCCTAAATGTGTATACAGCAAACAATAAAGCTGAAAACCTACTGATAGAAATAACAAGAACAATAGATAGACTCAACATTACAATTAGATATTTTAACACTGTTCTTTCATTCACTGATAATACAAGTAGAAAGGAAATCTATGAATTTATAGAAGTCAATAGCTTTTGATATTTTAAATTAGATATTTACAGCTCATTTTACTCAACACAGCAGAACATAATTTCTTTTTTCACTATTTATGGAATAGGTTTTATGATAGACAATATCCTGAGCTACAAAACAAACTTGAAAATATTTAAAAGGACTGAAATCATACCAAGTATGTTGTCTGACCACCAAGCAATCTCTTACCTACATGACAATCTAGTAATTAAGTTATAATGGGAAAATCGCAAAAGTACTGTGCCTGGAAACTAAACATGCTTCAAAATCAGTCATGAGTCAATGACTGAAAAAGCATGTTAAATATTAAAGAGATACATTAAAATAAGTGAAAAAATAACAGCGTATCAAAAGTTGTGAGATACCAAAGAAATTGTGCTGACTTGAAAATTTATGGCATTACATGGTTACATCAGAAATCAGTAATGAATTCTCAGTTTGAGAATGGAGGAAAAGAAGAGAAACATAAATTCTAAGCAAGCAGAAGGAAGAAAAGAATGAAAAATATCAGAGATCAAAGAAATTGAAAATACTGAAATAATGAAAAAATAAATGAACAAAGTGCTAATTCTTGGAAAAGATCAATGAAATTGACAGTCTTTTAGAAATATTGGCAAAAAAGAGAAGCAAAGTTCCCAACATCTAGAATAAATAGAACATCATAGCATACCACACAGATATTACAATGATAATAAGAACAGCATGAATAACTCTACATGGAGATACTTTCCAATGTAGGTGAACTGGATTAATTTCTCAAAAATAAGTTTATCACAACTCATTCAACATAAAATAAGTTATTTGAATAATCCTATAACTATTCCTTCCAAAGGAGGAATCTCCAGATTCAGATAGTTTTACCAAAATGCCAATGAAGAATTCGCATGAATTCTACAAAATATCTTCCACAAAGTAGAAGAGGAAATAAATTTTTCCATTCAGCTTTTTGGGTAACATTACCTGTCTTCCAAAGCCAAATTAAAAGATTACAAAAAATTAAAAGTGCAATGCATCAGTGATAGCTTTGAAAATACATATGTGTATCTATGCCACCTATATATCAAAATTTTGCAAATTTAATGTAGAAAATGATATAGCATTTACACTTTGTGACAGAGGATTTAATTATAAAACTGAAGGATATGTTTAATAGAAATAAAGGACAGAGTGTACCTTGAAGCCAACATTAATGCTTTACCGATACATCAATAAAACATTATCTGATAAAACTGATTCAAGACAAGGTAGAAATATTGACCGTTTTAGTAGATGTTTTATTATTTATATATTATTATTTAATATATATATTATTTATATTTAGTAGAATTTTTATTATTTAGTAGAATGTTTTATTAGGAAGGAATTTGTGAGTCAATCAATTCTGGATTTCAATCCTGGTAATCATGAAAATATAAGGTAAGTCAACAAGCCTGTTGAAAAAAGCATATAAAAATAAGGAAGATATGTAAAATTTATAATTTTAAAATCTGTTTACAAGCATTGAAGAAGTAGCAAAACATTGAGATCTTTGACCAAGCATAAAAGAGAGATGATCCAAGACAGGGTGGCACATTACTGTAATCTAATTGTTTGGGGAGGCTAAAGGCAGGAGCATCACAAGTTCCAGCCCAAGTTGGACAATTCAGTGACTTTGACAGACTCTATCTGCAAAATTTTTTAAAACTAACAACTAGATATGTTACTCAGTACAAGGCCTCAATTCAATCTCAGTACTAGGTGGGGATGGGGGAGACTGAATACAGACTCTCAACACTGAAATCTTCCTTTACTGGATTTGCTGATAACTGAGCCAATGAACTGGAATAAAACAAAGAATGTCAGAGAGAACTGAAAAGTGTAAAAAAAAAATCTAAAAACTATGGGCACTGTAAGATTACTTACTATAATTGCAAGCTCAGTGTACAGAGTTAATGACATTAGGTACAGTTTAAACTTGGAGCAAGTCACATGTTGAAATTTTAAAGCATGGTACAATGTAAGAAACTTAAGGAAACTGCAAACGATTTGAGCAAATTGGAAGTTCTAGCACATGTTAAGGTATATACCACCAGGTGTGGCATCTGCCTGTAGTTCCAGCACTTTGGAGGTGGAGGCAGGAGGATCACCATGAGTTTGAGACCAGCCTGGTTTACATAAGTGAGTTCAAGGCCAGATTATACTACATGGTGAGATCCTGTCTCAGAGAGACAGAGACAGAGAGAGAGAGAAAGAGAGAGAGAGAGAGAGACAAAGAGAGAGATACCCAGATGAAAAGAGGAAAGAGTAAGGAAAAATAATATTAAAGATAGAGTACCTGAAATACAAGTAAAAGTAATCCCGACCAGTCTCAAGTAAAACAAGTAAATAGAAATTTAAGACTGTCCTGGTAAGACTATGGAAGTTTAGGGACAAAGAAGGTATGAAAAGCCTTTTAACAGTTTTTGTTTTTGGTACCCGGGGATTGAACTCACAACCTCCTGCTTGCCAGGCAGGCACTTATGCTGCTGAGCTAAATCCCCAGCCTGTGAAAACCCTTTTAAGAAAAGAAATTACAGAACCTTCAAAGGAGCTGTAATTGATACGTTTCTGTGTAGAAACAACAAAAGCAATAAAAACTAGGAAATCATAGTTTCAAACTGCTGGAAGAAAAAAGAATTTAACTTTGAAATAATGGAAATATCCTTACTAAAAAGATATTTCCAGAGCAAAGTAAAGTAAGTTATAATAATGACTCACTGAAAGAAATTCCGAGCAATAACCATTATAAAGAAATGAAGTGATGTAAAATACAAAGAAAAAAGAAAAACAAATATCAAAAGTTAAACATATAAGTAAATTCAAATGAATATTAACTGTGAAAGGTAAAATGATTAATGTATTTTAATACAGACTTTTGCTCATACAGAATTAAAATGTAACAATAACAGCTTATAATATAAAAGTAGTAAATGAGTTGTGTTTGAGCACCTTGAAATGCTTGAGAAAAGGTGAAAGCAGTTTTTATTAACTTTTTATGCTTCAAATATATATATATTCCAATTTCTAGTTCAATTACTAAACACTTTAAAAAGCTAATAAAGAGAAGAAATAAAAAGTCATATAAAATATAAAACTATAATATAAAATAAAATACCATAAAAACCAACACTTCAATTAACCCAAAACTAGACCAAAAAAAAAAAAAAGATGAATGTACAGAAAATAAAATTTTAGAATTAAAAACAAAATGCACAGGGTATTACATTAAATAGAGTAAATGTTCCAAAGCAAAACTCATCTAATTAAAACTGAAACAAATTTTAAACAAATTAAAACAAATTTTAAGTATAAGGAGAAGAAAACCAGAAAATAAAGAGGTACAAAATGTATACCATGCTAATAGTAGCTAGAATTCAGGATATGTAATTTATTCAGCTACTTTACAGGGACAAAAATTTCAATTAAGCAGGAAAGAAACATAATTTTACTTTATTTTTAAAATTTTATTTAAAGAGAATAACATCAAACAAAATAAAGTTGAATAAAGGCAACCAAAACAAAACGATGAAAGTGATACAGAACTTAAAAACAAGATAGTAGGAAATCAACAGTGGTTATCATTATATAGCTTGTTATCTTCAAAATAGCTGCTCATATCATCAGACATATTAAAATCAAATAAAACCAAACCAAACAATGGAAATACAGGATTTCAAAACAATATAATAGGGAATTAATAAAAGCTACCATAATGCCTCTTGTTATCTTCAGAAAAGGTATATAGCCCATCAGACACAGGCATGTACAGTTAATAAAACAGTACAAGAACTAATTTTCTTCTTTACTTCAGTTGTTAATGTTCCAGAACTTTCAGGTGTGTGACTTCTAATTTCTACATGTGTGTGTCTCCTGAACTTGTTCTGTGGGGGCTGGAGGTCTTTGATTGTATTTTGCTCTTTTGTCTTGACGTTTTCCTGTGTTTCTCCAAATCAGCCCATTGCTCCGTCCTGGCTTCCTGCACTGGCTGCAGTCCCTCTGTGTAGTGGACTGGACCAGGCACCTGGCTTCCTCTGCTCAGGGTTCCTGGAGTGGTGGAGAGGCACAGGGCAGTGCTCAGCCAATGCGATTCTGAAGGCAGCATGGCCTCGGGGCATGGCTTCTGCTGTATTTATCCCATTTGCTCACAGGTTTGCTTCATTTGTGATATTTCTTTGCTAATTTTTTGTCTAGTTGATCCATCTCTCTGTCACAGTGGCGTACTGAGAGCTCCTCGTACAATTGTGTTATTGCTCGTTTGATTTTCTATGTTTACCATTAACTGTCTTAGATAGTTGGATGCTGCTATATTAGGTGCATACATACTTATAATTGTTATCGCACTTGTGTTGTCCCCAAGCTTTCTCACTGACCTCACTCAATTTTGTGTTACTGTACTTCATCGTGCAACTGTTGGATTGATTTGTCGTGTTCTCTTGATATGTTTGAGATATCCTTCCTTTCATGATCACTAGCTGCAATTCTGTCTTCGAGTCCTAAAACCTATCCTTTACTTCACTCAATCTGTTGCATATACTTTCAGTGGAGGT